ACGTCAAAGCTTAGGGGCTACAAATGCAAATTATCATTTTTTTTCTTAAAATATTATTTGTGGTTCTCAAGAAATGATTGGCATGCCATCTGGGATGCCTGGCTTTGAGCATTTCTGAATGGTATTTTCTCAGCTGACACCTTGAGGTATTGGGTGTTCAGTTCTTCCAAGAGTTCGAACCAAAGGTTTCCCCACACACTACTCTGGTGTATGACTGATTTCTGGACTCCCACTGTGTATTTATGACAGATAACGTGCTTGGTTTGAGAATATCAATACCACACCCATTCTTTGTGTGTGATCCTAGACAGTGAATGTCAACAGGTTAATTGATCGTGGGAGCATTTTAAGCCAATGTCTGACCAACACACATACACACATGCACAGATCTCTATATCCAGGCTAATTTTGCCTTGTTTTCCAGCTGTGGGACCTTTAAGCCAAATTGTAGCATCCAAAATGCTGCCATGGCTGAGAACAGCACAAGCCACAACTGAACCTGTAACTTTCTGATCAGTTTGCCTGAACGCACTAGCCAATGCTTTTACACACTTGGACATCAAGGGATCCTGCTTTTACTATTTACCTTTACCATTGCACAAATGATAGATTATCTCTGGCAGCCCTGGTTTTATTGTTCTCATTGTTACCCCAACCCTAGACTGAATGTGTTAAAAATGCAAATATGCTATCTATGAAGGCCAAATCTGGTAAATGAAAAAGCATATATTCAAACAAATAGCTTATGTCGGGAAAACAATATAAAACACATCTTCTTGAAAAAATATGTATCAAACCTTACCATCCCATTAATACCACCAATATAACCCTCGGTCTATCGTACAGCTTTAAAATATCTAATTCTAGCACTAAATGTGAAAAGGCAACTGCAACAAAATAGAAATAATCAATTTGAATTTGGTGTTTTGCTAATTAATTGCAAACCAATATATACCAATGTTTCATATACTCAAATTTTAAAAAAGGGCAACTAAATATTTCAATTTGAAGCTTAGAGTGATTCAGCATTTTATCAAAAAAAAATGCTGTGGAATTAATTCAGGACACATCCATCTGCTGGACATTTTGTCTGCCTTTTTTAGTGCTTGCCAGTGCACACTGTAGTTTTGCTGACACCGAAGTCATGCCTGCACTTTCCAGTTATTGAATTTCCAATGGAGTGCAGTCTGGAAAGTGCCCTCAACTGAAGGAGAATGCTACATTAAGATTCTGTGTGAGATGTTAGGTGCCAGCTTGCAGGCAAATCTCACTGTACAAATTCTACAATGTTGCAGGACAGCAAAGGATTGACTGCAGCTCCTGATGCAGATCAAGCAATTAAACACTGCAGGAAAAAATAGCTTTGCATTACCAAAATTCAGCAGCCAACACCCCCTGTAAATGTCTATAATATAGATTCTGCAATAATACTGCACACTTAAAAGCAGTTTCCGTAAAAAATTGCAGGTAAGCTCATGGTAATGATCCTTTCATGAAATACAATTGTATACTAAGTTAAACATTAAACCATTATCAACTGCAATAACCATCTAGACATGATCTGCACCTAACAGTTAACCATTTCTTTTTTCCCAGAAAATTAGGTCAGTAAAGGTGCATAAAATGATTGTGAAAGTAACATAGTTTGGGTGTTATATAAAAGGTTATAATCTTCTGTATTGTACTGTAATTGGAACAAAAGTGTACAACTACAGTATTATTTCCACAGCGATGCGAAGGCCTCATAATTTGGACTGAGGTTTTCAGAGTTACTGTTATAATAAAATAACAAAGAGAAGGAAATGGGAATACAGTGTTTCCATTCTCTCTATCTCCACCCATCACCACCTTGCTCACAATTACTGAATTTCCACCTTCTCTGATGTTTATGGGGGTGCATTGTAACTGTTATCAAAATGTATTTAAATACCCTTTATATTGGCAACTTAACCTTCACATCGAAGTCCCAGGAGGTCGATATAAATAAAATCGATGCAGAAAAACCCTATTACTTGGCAGACTCGTCACAAGGCAGTCACTGCAGCACTGGCTTGTGCTGCTGGAAAAAACTGTGACCTTCAATTACCACAAACCTGGGAAAGTAGGAGTCACTGTGCATATCTAACCTCGACTGTTTAAAATAAACCGAGCTACATATTGGCCGATTTAAGGGTGCTGCATTCTCAGTTGAAAGCCAAATGCAAAGCGTTAAAAAGATGCGTGGAGTTAAATTCAACCCCAACAGTTTAAAAGATGTAGCAGGTGGATAAGAATCCAACGCAAAGGTAGGCGAGTCACTGCAGTAAAGAGACATCAGCACTGCCTGTAAGACACCCACTGACTGCTACACACATTGTAGGGAGAAGCAATTCATTTCCCTGCAAGGAAAATAACAGGAGGGGTGGGTGAGTGTGTGGGGGGGGGGGGCGTTCAGGACTTCCACCAAAAGTGCATACTGCGTCTTAAAAACTTTAGTCGAGGTTGTGTTATTTTCGAACTGGAAAACAAATTCACTGACATTTATAGTGAGGAAAGTCTGTCTGCCCAGAGAGAAGGCTTTCTCCTTCCTCTCCCCCCCACCCACAGACTCCACCTCTCTGGCCATGTCCCAAGAATGTGAGAGAATAGTATTCCTGTGGAAACACAGGTTCAAACTTTCTGCATTGATCACATTTATGTATTATGTTTTTTTTAAAAAAAACTAGTTCATCATCACCACTACCCACACACACACACACACACACACACACACGAAATTGGGGTGGGAGACATGCATTGAGATGTTACACTGGGAAATAAATAGACAAGCAAACTGATTCTGCCTAAGAAAAGAGCACTTGATCTCCCAATTTCTGTATTCATTTGAGATGATTTTAGTGGCCCAAAGTCATCACAAAGTAACGATAATTACGGTAGCAATATGAGTGTGGGTATGGGTGTGTGTGTGTGTGTGTGTCTGTCTCTCTCTCCATATTACCCACATTAAAGTATCAGACACTTTCGGGCGTCAAAACGGTTCAATGCAAACATCACCCATAAGAATTTTTTTTTAAAAAAAATCATAAAAGCACCGAGAAATGAACGGAGACGTTCACACTGTCTGGGTGTCCGAGTTTGTGTGTGTTTCCACATTACCCACATTACAGATTGCCAGACACTTTCATGTGTTACAACAGCACAACACACAAACACACACACCCACACACACACACATACATAGCCCATAAGATTTAAGAAATAAAGGAGTGGCAGCACCGACAAATCAGCTGAGGGGTTCACACTGTATGTGTGTGTGTGTGTGTTGTGTGTATGTATATATATATTCCAACGATGTGACCCAAAATAGTTAATGTGGTGCTTTAGGGCCCTGAGATCCCTCTCTCTCTCTCTCTCTCACTGTATGACTGTAGCAGTGCAGCCGCCATACAGACAGACACCTGCTGGAGGCGTGAACCTACATCTATCTCCAGGCTTGGCCAGAGCCCCTTTTATAAATCTACCTCTCTGATTGACCAGAATCTGGTGCTTTCCATGTTTTTTAAAAAAAAATATGCATATGTATAAATAAAAACAAAAAAAGGGACACACCTTTTAATGAACTGTCAAGACAAGTGAACCATCAGCAGCCCATTCCCTCATTCCCTCGGCCACATTCACTCTGCTGTGCATTTGTTTCCACGTTAATAAGGAAACTGTGGTGTGGGTTAATCGTACACGAAGCAGTGCAAAAAAAAAACATAATAAAATACGCCTTTACTGTGAGCGACCCAGAGGTGTCATGCGATTGCAGCAATCGTATTGATTGCGTTGGAAAATCCGCATCCAACTTTGATTGCACAAAGCTGTGAATTGCTATCCTCTCCTTCTCCTCCTCCTCCTCCTCCCCCCCTCTCCCTCTCTCTCTCTCCCTCCCTCCCACCCACCCACCTGCACCATTTCCAAATGCATCCATTTGCAGGGAACCCCTGACTGACTGCTTTAACACGCATTTCCAGAGCGTTTTAAACATTTCTTTTTTTTTGGGGGGGGGGGGGGTTAAAGTTGTTCTCCAGCCTGGATCTCATCAGGTTTTACACGGGATCACAAGCGGAGTGGCGGGGGTAAGGCAGACAGACAGACAGACAGGTAGGTGGGTGGGTAGACAGACAGACAGACAGACAGACGGTCGCCCAGAAACTGTGCCAATCACTCAATCACTGGACACTTTAAATGAGTGACACTACACTACACGATCGAGCCATTTAAACACATTTACCCCCCCCCCCCCTTCTCTTATACCAACGGTCTAAGAGTGTGCAATGTGCCCCTCACCCACCAGTCTCTGTTATGCCACAAAGTTATCTCTCAATCAGGCACCTGAACCGGATCCCCCCCGTAAAGTGCAGGCGTACAAACAGGTCGGTGCGGATATGAGGCGGGGAATGCCACGGCTGAGGGCTACTCGCCGGCAGCTAATGCACCTAAAATGAATGCGATGATCCTATCATTTAGTCATGTCTGATATTCTTAGATCACGTTATAGGAATCAAAATATGTTCCGTTCCCACTGCCATTCGCCCTCATCCCGAAGGCTACGCCGCATGTACACATTAGATTTTTTAAAAAAAACCGAACCATCTGAGCATACGAGAGAGGAACAAAAATACCATAAGGGGGTGTTTCTATTTTTTTTAAAAAAAACACGACACGTTTAACTGCAATCAGGTGTTTTGTATGTGTTGTATGTATGTATGTATGTATGTATGTATGTATGTATGTATGTATGTGTGTGTGTGTGTGTGTCTCTGTGTGTTACTCACCAAATCGGCTGTGATATGCATGTGTGTGTGTGTGCATATGTGTGTGTGTGTGTGTGCATATGTGTGTGTTTGCATGTGTGCGTGTGTGTGCATGTGTGTGTGCGTGTGTGTGTGTGTGTGTGCATGTGTGTGTGGTGTGTGTCCGCATATGTGTGTGTGTGTGTGTGTGTGTGTGAGTGAGTGTGTGCCTCTGTTACTCACCAAATCGGCTGTGATCCTGTCTGGTTCCCTGGATAGTTCCATTGGGGAAAATCTCTAAGTGAAACCCAGTCCTGCAGTAGAGCTGTCTGCGCCTGAGGATCCCTTTTAAGTGAGCCAAGTCTGTGACCGAGCCCCTGCCCAAACCCCCCTCGGAGTGGCCGAGGTGATCGCTCAGCAGAACCGGGTTCTCCACCGGCAAAACGGGCACATTCCCAAAAGGTATTGCATCCTGGACACCAAGATAGTTCCCAACTTCGCCTAACGGAGCCATCAGTCGCCGCCGGCGATTCCGCTTCTGATAACAACAACAACAGAGAGGAGAGAAAAAAAAACACACAAGAATAATGATATAAGTCGGCAGCTCCCACGATTGCTCTCCCTCTCTCTGTCTCTCTCTCTGTGTGTGTGTCTCTCTCTTCTCTCTCTCTCTCTCTCGTGTATGTGTTTTCCTCCTTCCTCTCTTTTTTTCTCTCTCTCTCTCTCCTCCTCTCTCTCTCTCTCTCTCTGTCTCTCCTCTCCTCTCTCTCTCTCCTCTCCTCTCTCTCCCCCTCTCTTTTTTTTTAGAATGAATCGTTTGGAGTGCAATCCATTAAAAACACACACACACACACACACACACACACGTATATGGGGGGTGGGGGGTGGTAGTGGGGGGGGGGGGGGAGAGAGAAAAAAAAGTAATATGCTGTTTGGGTTTGGGGGAAAGGTTCAAGGTCAACCGCTGTAGTAGTAGTAGTCTACGGAACCACCACTTTTATACTCACACATTAACATATTGTTTTTTTTAAAAAAATAATCCCAGGTCTAGCAATCTGTTTGATCTTCAGCCGATCCAACTGCATTGAGAATAAAAATTCGTAGTTTCTCCATTGGAAGAAGATAACGATGGTCATAGCAACTTAAAACCCTCGGCGTTATTTGGGATTTTTTTTTTTTTTTTTTTGGGGGGGTTTGTTTTAGATGAACGAGAACCACGTCGGGATTTATGGATTCTGACTCCAGAAGGACAAACACGCGCCGTGTTTTTTTTTTACTCTTATAAAAGACTGCACACATCAGCACGAATTCCTCGAGAAAAATTATAGATCGCACGTTGTTCGCCCGGGAGGGGGTGGAGGGGTGGAGGGGTGGTGGAGGTGGAGGTGGAGGGGTGGTGGGGGGGTGGAGGGGTGGTGGGGGGGAGGGGGGAGGTGGGGGGGACAATCCATAAACTTTTGATCTTATTTCGTGGCCCAAACGTCACCTTTTTTTTTAATTATCCAAAGGACTCGAGAGAGAGAGAGAGAGAGGGATCGGGAGGAGTGTCTGTGTCTGTCTGGGGTTTCAGGCGGTGGCTTTTTCATCAGTAGAGAAAATCTGCAAGTCCAGTGCTGCGTTGCTGTCTGCCTTAAAACAGGTGTTCCTTTACGCAGACCCCACTGTGAAATGTGTGCGCTCTCTGCGTCTGAACTCGACTCTCCATGAAGCACGCAGAGTGGCGCAGGAAAGAAGGCATGGGCTGGGTTTAAGGTAGTCCTACCACCAGCACAGAGGATCCTTCTCGGTCCTAGTGCTCATGGTGTTCTTGCCTCCTTGCTTTGCTCGCTACTTTTTGAGTGGGGGTGGGGGGGGGGGGGGGGGGGGGGTGGTGGTGGGGGACGTCTAACTTCCAAGTGACAGCTCGGGCGAATCCTTTTAAAAATGCATCTTTTTTTAACACACACACACACACACACACACACAGTAAAAAAAAATTCTTTAAAAAAAATCTTCTCGAAGGTTAAGGCTTTTAGATCATCAAATCGATGGTGGTTTTGATCTTCGTGAGATTGCCTTTTTTTTTTGAGGGGGTGGGGGGGGGGGGGGGGGGCGGTTGGGTTCAAATCATTTTTTTTTAACTAAAATGATCCGACGGGATTGGATGCGCGTGGATTAGTTATTTGTGGTGATGCTGTTGATCAGAGATGGGTTGGGTGTCTGGACACTGCAGAAACCCATCACCATACTTTAAAGTGCATTCACACCAGGACCGGGTTCCACATGTGCCATCTGCACCGATCTACGAAGAGTCAACGCCAACAACAACAACAACAACAACAACAACAACAAATTGCATTACTGAAGCGCCTTTCACGTCAGGAGGACGTCCCAAGGCGCTGAACAGTCGGGTGGAGGGGGGGGGTTGGACCCGAGCTGGGGGTTGGGATTAGGAGGGATGGGATGGGATGGGAAGGGGGGGGGGGATCGTGGAGGGTGGGGAGGGTAGGATATAGGAGGAAAAAATCTGGACACAACCCACTCACCTAATTCCAGAAAACAAGAGCCAAGGCCAGATGAACCCAGAGGGTGCATTGGGGGGGGTAGTGCTGGGGTCTAACCAGGTAAGCCCGGACAGCTTGCCATTGCGAGCCCTATTTGGAAAACTTCCCACTCGTTTGTTTGTCCACACCATCCATCGGACATGGCTTTTGGACTCACCCCAAACAAACCCTGAATCAGTGCGAAGCTGCTCAAGATTTTGCTGAATCATATTGACCAACACGATACAAGTTGTCACTGCAACTCCTTTCAACCCGACAGTTTCCCATCGTGTGGATATCTCTGCTCAAAAAAAACACGCATCGTTCCTGCTCAGCCCTAATAGAAGTTGCTCCCGTTTTCCCTGAATGAAATGAGATCGCAGGAACAGTGGAAATAAATAAAAACAGTCGTGGATTTATATTATTCTAAAATGATCTCGAACGCGTTTGCCCGTCGCTTCTGACAGATTCCCAATGGGATCGTGTCGAGGACTGGCGATAGGGTAACGCACAGACGATGAATGTGAGAGAGATTTGGGTTCGCAAACAACGAGAACAACGCTGTGCTGTGGTCGAGGCTCACACCGCTTCTCTGCAACACACACTGTAAGCAGAATAAGACCGACCTGACACTCATACGCATTCTAGGAATGATCTACTTACCCCCAAATGCTCATACTATAGCCTTAAACAGACACCCGCAGTGACTGTGGGATGAAAGCAATGGACACCAGATAGTGAGGTGGTCGGTGATGGCAATGAGTGAGATCCCAGGGTTCAGGTTAATGTCTGGGCAAGTCATTTACTCCGGTTACCTTTCCAACCCCCCACCCACCCCCAAAAAAAAAATGTTAAAAGATAACGAGTTGTACAGACCTGTTCCTTACTTGAGAATTCGTGCTAAACAGAACCTTAACTCGGAGTGGCTTTTTAAACCATGAGAAGAAGGGTTGTTGAACAGCTCATCAAATATGTTAATGAACCGTCTATACAGCATTAGTCTTTACCTCCTTAACACAATTGTAATATGCAGTGTGTGGGTGTAAAAAAAAATCATTATCCACTCTGCATTTTCCTTCTCAACCCCCCCCCCCCCCCCCCCCCCCCCCACACACCACACACACACACAGTCCTCAACATTCCCTTTGATGTAATTCAGTGAAGGTTGGTGTGTGAGTGTGGACACTAGGACCCGGGGGGGTAATGTGAGACCCAGTTTCCAGTCTGGAGTTTTCCCAATAATTTGCTGTCTCGGGAATTGGGACACAGCCCGAGAGAGAGAGAGAGAGAGAGAGGGGGGGAGAGGGGGGGAGAGGGAGAGAAGGGGGGATCGGGGAGGTGGGAAAAGAGTATGACAACTGCAATGGTATAGTGTATGTCCAACATGTCCAGCTCTCCTCTCCGCCCTGAGCTGTGGAGGGGTCTGGAGCAGAGATGGGAAGGAGCTCCGGGAAGCTGCTGAGTGAGAGCAGAAGGAGCTGCAGTCGCTGCTCTCGCTAGAAGTCGCTGCAGAGCCAACACTGATACAGCACTCAGAATATTCCATCATATTCTTTTGTGTGCAACTCTTCCTTCTTCTGTTATCAATCCCCCCCCACACACACACTTTTTTTAGTTATGCAAATTCCAGCTAAGATTGGATTTATTATTATTATTAATTTGCTTGTAGAGAGGAGGGGGTGGGGGGTCAGGTTTAATTCTCTTATGATGATGATGATGATTATTAATAGGTCTGTATATCAATTGGGTGTTATATTTTCCAATCACAGGTTACTCGAAGGTTTAATTCCACTCTGTGTATGTGTATGTGTGTGTGTGTGGGGGGGGGGGGGACTATTTATTATTTCCCCCTCTCTTGAATAGTTTTCTTTTAAATTTAGTCTTCAATGTACCTGTATAACACATTGGATCTGTACAATACACCAAATGGACCAGTGGCTCTGTGCTGTACTTTATTTTCTCCACAGGGCTATCTATACCCAAGCCTGGGGAGAGCAGGGAGGGGGGGAGGGAGGGAGGAAGGGAGGGAGGAAGGTGCCTTGGATCGAATAAGGCAATTGCAACTGGGATGATTTTTTATTTGGGGGTTCAAGTGTTGTATTGCAAAATCATCGAAGGGGTGTAGATTATTCTGCACCTCCTGCGTTTTATAATCAATCGATCGCTGGGAAACAAATGTTCGCCTGGGGAGGGAGTGGGAAATGTATATCCCTCGTTCCTGAAGAGAGTCGGGTCGGGTCGTTCGCTACACATAGCACAGCAATGCAGCAACTGGAGCGGAACCGTGTAGACTGTCTTGCGCTCTTTTTTTAGCTCAACATACACTGTAATTTAAAGGGGCAGAACCACCAGTTACCTCATCAGTTGCACGTCCCCTCTGCCTTTCCTCCGGCTTTCTCTTTGTGTGTCCTTCACTTCTGCGCTGTATCCCCACAAAAAGGTGCATCAAAACGCCAGAACAAATCCAACGGTCCCCACCTCTTGCGGAGGTGACTTGCCTTCCCATGTCTGTGTTTTTTTTAAGTATATATTTAAAAAAAACATAATTTGCTATCAGTTCTGTCTGTCCCAAAACTATTTAAAGCCGCTTCATTTTGGCTGGTGTGTGTGTGTGTGTGTGTGTGTGTGTGCGCACACTGCACTCCTCGACTTTTTCAACTTTCAGTGAGATTTTTTCATAAAAAGAGAGAGAACTCTTTAATTAAATTCTAAAAGGTTGTCAATTTTGACTGATGAGTAAGTAATGCGTTACTAAGAATAAGAGAGAAAGTTTTATTCTAAAATGCCTACAACTGGCAATGACACTGATTGCTGAGTGTGGTCGATTTGGCTTTGCAAAGGTACAATCACAGGTAAAGCATTCCTGCCTTTGCAGAGGAAAACATCTGTAGAATCGACCCAATGTAGAGGTAGAAGTAATTGTGGCTTCAATTATTATTATACGTTTTTTTTTGCAAACCAAACAGACAATCACAAGTCCAGTATTGCAGTGTTATATTAGTAACGTAAATTAAGCATTGGGCACGAAACTAGATTTGTAGAATTTAATTCCCATACATGGTAATAACCTTGATATAAACAGACACACGGAGCATTCAATGAAGCTGTATTTGACAGACGTGAATGTCAGCAATAAAAATGCATTAACAAATTAATGTGTTATTAGCGCTTAGCATTTCTACCCGTGAAATCTAACATCTGCTAAAATGTAATACAGCAAAGCAAAGGTAATACGATTCAGCAGTGTTTATACGCTTTTCATTTCAGAGATGTATTCAGTATGTAAACACTAATTTGTCTATGTATAAAAAAAAACAGGATTTTAGGAGACTGCAGCAGTTTGCTGAATTTATGATATTTACACCAGCCAGACTCGTGTTTACTGGCGGAAGTGTAAAGTGATCCATTTAGATTAACAATTAATAGATCACCAATTAGAGAGGTGCAAATAGGACCCATAGTATGGAAAATGAAATCATTAAAGGAACATTACCTATTGTCATTTATTTTATTTGGCTGACACCAAACGAATAGAGGGATATTAGGACAAAGGAAACAAATACATTCTCAGCAGGTATAAAAAACAAATTTAAATGAATTACAACACTTTAATTCTGTGCTAGACAGAAATGTTATGTCTCTCGTTCCTTGGTTGGAAGTGGCAACCTGCTGTTTGGTGGAAGTGCTTCATTAATGAAGAAAGGCGAGATGTATGAATGTGGATACACACGACAAATCTGTGTATTCTTGTCACGGCTACACTGGTATCATTGGTTTAGACCACAAATAATCAGTCAATTCACATTACAGTATATTCTGTGAAGCGACTTGAGACGTATCAACAACAACAACAAATCACACTTGTATAGCGGCCTTCACATCGGAAAGATGTCACAGGGCTTTGAAACAGATATCAATGGCACGATAAGGCGTTATTTCAATTGCATGAATTATTATTATTATCACTGATTGTCCAGTTGCAAGATACCTTTACCAACCAGCTCCATTCCTACCACCGCCTAAATGTTAAACTCCAGCAACACACACTCTGGGGTCTCCTGGCTTTGGCTATCATCAACCTCCACCACATAGTCACCAGAATTAGGGAGAGAGTGCACATTCCATTCCATTCCAGACACAGGGAACTTTCTGTGTGTAGTTTGCGTACATAAATGGAACTCTCAGTCTCGTGGATACTCTTAAGCATTGTGTTGAGTTTCCACCTTTATCAGACAGATGCCTGTCAAAATAAACAAATTTAAGATAAAACAAAGCACATATTTGTACTGTGGAGTTTGATCTATACAGTCATGTATAGATGACTGTATAGATCAATACAGTCTATTGACTTATATCAATATAGATCAGTGGTTAGAGCACTTGCCTCGTAAGCGAGAGGACCTGGGTTTGATTCCCAGCATATCAAAATGTTGGGCAAGTTTCCTTACTCCACACGCCTCTGTTTACCTAAAAGTAAGTAGGAACCTGGTTGTTTGTTGATTGGCAGATTGCTTTTCTGGGGATAATAATCCTGAACAAAAAAATAAATAATTTGGTCACTCAATCCATGACTGTTTGTGGGACACTGCTGTGTGAGATTGGCTGCACGTTTTGCCCACAAAATATACAGTCAATTCACTTTACAATATATTCTGTGGAACACTTTGCAAAGTCTCGAAGACATGATAAGGCACTATACCAAATGCAAGGATTATCATTATTATTATTATAAACATATATGCTTTTGTGGGACATTGCTATGTGCGAATACACAATCACTACAATCTACAGTAAATCCATGACACACTTCGACATGTTCTCCTTGAGATGTGAAAGGTGCTAAATCAAATGCAAAGATTATTATTATTGATTATTAAATAAATGCAAGTTGTTATTGAATGTACAGGTAGCAGAACTATCGATCAAAGTGTATGTAAGGGCCAATTCATTGAGCTTGAACTAGTGCTGGAATGGCAGGATTGGTAGAGGTTATGTAGAAGAATCTGGTTTCCTTGGTCCGTTTATACCAGCAAGATTCTGTTTTAGGAATTTCATTGATCCAGATAACAACAAACAACTTGCAAGTACAATGCCTTTCACATGGGGGAATTCTCAAAGAGTTTTACAGAGATGGAGTGGGAGCAGGTGTCAGCCTGGCTCTGTAGGTGTCAGCCTGGCTCAGTTGGTAGCACTCTCACCTCTGAGTTATAAGTTTGTGGATTCAAGCCCCATGTTGGGACTTTGAGCTCACATAATCAGTACTCCAGACTGACACTCCACTAGAGTGCTGCAGGAAATGCTCTGTTGTCAGAGATGCTGTTTTTTAAATGAAACACTAAACCGAGGTTCCATCTGCCTGTTTTGGTGGATGTTAAGTTGCCCATGGCAATATTAAGAATGAGAAGGGAGTTACTCTCAGTGTCCTGGGTAACAATTCCAGTTAAACTTGATCACTTGACGGGGACAATAATGTGTGGAAATTGTCGCATTCTCCTTCAAAATACACAGTCACTACACTTTACAGTAAATGCCATGAAGTGCTTTGAGATATGCTCCTGACATGAAAAACACTTTATCACATGTAAGGATTATTATTATTTTTATTTATTTCACATCACTCCTGTACCTTTTTACAACAACAACTTGCACTTATGTAGTGCACTCCACACAGTAG